CCCTATAGGACCTATAGGGTTCCCTATAGGACCTATAGGGTTCCCTATAGGACCTATAGGGTTCCCTATAGGACCTATAGGGTTCCCTATAGGACCTATAGGGTTCCCTATAGGGCTTATACGGAACCCTATAGGCCTATAGGGTTCAGTTTCATGTTCTCCTCTAGGCCACTAGATGGAAGTATTGGGTTGTCACATTTCTCAAAGGGCACACAAGTGCCCTCCCCTTACCCATGGAAGCATCTCTCACAAGAGGGTTTTGTATGTCCCCTAATGTCTCGCCTTGCCTTATTGTAGCAATCAATTAACTTTGACAGTTTTTTATTTGTCATCCCCATCTTCCAGATATAATCATGGAGTCCCGTGAAGAAATATGCCCTCATTCCTTTTGAAAGCCACGTACGAAACTAAGAAGATTCTATCCGGATGGAGTTTTAGTAAAGAAACGTGCTCGCAGGTTCTGTCTTCTATTTCCTTAGGTCGAGAGAAGAATGCCACTTCTTTCTACCAAAGGAAGTAGATGTGCAATCCAGCGACACGTGGGGCGGGGCCATAAATTATGCAGGGCCCCGTAGTGCTGGTATTAATAATGGATGTATCCCTACCATGGAAAAACCCTCTAATAGTTTTTTTTTATTCACACCGAAATGCTGCGCCAATATTATCCCCGGTCGCCTTATCCGTCGTAATGCCTGGGTTTCGAAACCCAAAATTTCCTCCCTGAATCCTATAGGTCAGGAGACCTATAAGACCCTATAGGAATCCTATAGGGTCCTTTATGATCCTATAGGTTTTTCGTGTTTCAAAAACCTATAGGAAAGTCTATAGGTTTCCTATAAGAAATAACTATAGGTTTCCTATAGGACATTTCCATAAGGGTAGGTCTCCTATGCGGATAAAATCATACGCCTTCCAAAAGGGTTCTCAATAGGAATATGAGCTTGTTTATGGTATGGACTCTATGAATGTCTTGAATATGCGGATAGCAAACGATGAAGTGTCCGTGTTCATTGATTCCTATAATGAGACTAGGCGAGACGTATGGCAAGGTACTAAACAATCCTGCGAGGGACGATTCCAGGGAAAGAGGGAAGGGGACTTTTGTGTACTGTGCGAAAAGCGAGACCCTTACCTCCATCTAGTGGCCTGGCAAAGGACTTCAAGGTGTTCACTTTAATACGAGCGATGAGGGAGCATTTGGTGAGTAATAAGAGAGTAAATTCGAAAAGCTCACGGTATGCTCACTTTTTACTCCCCAAACGCTCGAAATTTTCGAAGAGTGTAGTGCTACTAGCGGTCTATGGCAGCAATTGCGGCCTTCTACCCGTACATAGACTTTTGCTCATCAATTAAGAACAGTCTTGTCCAGATTACAGCTGCCAAAATGTGAACTACTAAACGAGGGAACACATATGTATTAAGGAGTTGCTGAGGCACAGCGTGCTACTTCTGCCAATATGCGCAAATTATACCCAAAATTAGCGCAACATGGGTAAAGTAAATATATATGGTAGAATACATGCAAGACCAAGAAACGGGACGAACATGCGAACAGCGAAGCAGAAAGTATATATAATAACGAACAAAAATAATCCCGACTAACGGATTTGACAATGAAGTGCTTCTTCAAATACTACATTGTCGGCAATGGTGCCAGCACCAGTTTCGCCTTGCTTCGGTCCATCGATAACCTGAATTTTGAGCGAATACTAATAGCGAACTCGCGAGCAGGCAATGTACAAATGCCATGCAGGGATACTGGCTCCGTAGGTCCGACTTGATCAAATATCTCTCCTTGAGACTTTGGTTAAAGTCGTACCGTAGGAAGGCTCGATTGGGAATCGCAATTGACAAAGATGGAACGGTATGCTGACTTGACGGGTGCAGTGAAACTCTTGGCAGCGAGTGAACGCAACCATGACGCGCGCTCGTCATCACCTCAACTATTATGACGTTCAAATGAAATGGGACTTTTATTCACCTACTCTAC